ATAAAATTATGAAGGTGCATTTTTGACATGTTCTTTCACTCCCGTGTTTTCTTTCCTTCTTAAGTTCTTTCTGACCTAGTTTCACTGATACTCTTAACATACTCATCTAGATCCCTTGCTCATTATGTATTCACTGTCTTTTAACTCCTTCTTCATATTTTTTAATCTAGTACCTTTACCAACATATTATATTATTAAATACTCATAGAAACTCTGAATTGAAAAGTAATATAAAATGTGTTTTGTCCAAGCCTTCTACTGTTCTTTAGAGCAAGATGGAGAATATGGCAATGATCACCAGTGGTTACACAATCACACTCAAAATTTCTACTGACAAGAACATTGCCACCCTAGAGATTGCAGAGGGTTTTGATTGAAGCTACATATATGATTATCTTGTTTTGAGTCACTCAATATATGCTATATTTGGAAATGTTATTTTGAGAAAGCATGAGTATATAAAATTCATAAGTAGTTCATAACCACAAGTCTCTATAATCGTTTAAAAATAAATTGAACCAATAAGAAGCACATCTCTGAAATGTTCAGGTCAAGAAAAGACTATGAGTATGAAACCCACAAACAAAGACACCATTTTTGTCTGACCAGTTCAAAGTAGAAAGAAACTATTATCTCCTTTGTAGCTACAGGCTATTTCTGACACTCAGGAAAAAAATGCATTTCCTTCATAAGGAAGAGGGAATGACAAACAGCTCATGGCAGATCAGCATAGTGAAGGAAGCATGGGCTTTGGAAATATCGATTTAATTTCAATTTCAGGCTTTGTCATTTGCTGTGTGAACATTCATAAACTACTCAAAATTTCTGAGCTTCAATTTCTTTATCAATAAGATGAGAATAATACTGATGGGATAATTCATGTTTCATAGGTATGTAAGTGTCACATTGAGAAATGATACTAATATGCTCAGTTCAGAGTCTGACGATTGTGGAGTCCAGGAAATGTAGGCTCTCCCATTCTCACTCCTATTAATTTATAGTTTTATGGCCCATTGATTTTATTTTTAAATCCTTATGTCATTATAAAATATCTACAAAACAGATCAAAATCTGTAGTGCTCCTACCCTGCACTGAGACCACTGATTTCTTCATCCCTCAAGGTTTTTGGTTTTATGGAAATCTTGGATTTGAAAATTTCAGTTGCTCTCTATGACTTAATTTGTCAAATATAAATTTCTGTGCTTGGTTTTACCTAAAGCCTTACCCTAGCTATTCCCCTGTATTCAACCTTCTTTAGTCACACCAGTATTCTCAGTTTATAATGAACAATACACGTTCATTTATTCTTTGGCTTATTTGATTTTGATTTTCTTTTACCTGGAATATCCTCTTTTTCTAATACACTCATGCAGAATTTGCAATATATAAAGCCTTAGATGAAAACCCTATCACAAAGTAATGTTCCCTTTCTTATTCCAGCAATATCTTCTACATTCTTGGTATACCTATAGGCATTATTATTAGAAAATGAAAATGTCATGACATATTCTGTTCCCTATTACTTTACACTTATTATTATTTTCTTCCTATAAGATTTTGAAAGGTTCTCAGATTTTATAATATTCCTTAAATTTTTTCAATGTGACTGTACTTTGCTAGGCACATGTTTGATATCCTGAAAGTAAAAATCAGGATTAATACCCCAGGGAAGGACAAAGAGATCAGAGATCAATAAACTGAGCCCTTGGGTAGGTAGATTCAGAAGATTTTGAATTTAGTCTAATGGAGTGTTTTCTACTTCCAAGGTTGCAGGAATTCAATGTCCCCCAAATGGGAGAAAGATAACACACGATAAGCTATTTCACCCATCTGAAAGCAACTCACCTGAAAATCCTGTTCTTATTTATTAGTAGTCTCCAGGGAAGTTCCCACTCAGAATTTACTTTAAAATTACTTAAAATGTTAAAGTTG